GTCTTGGCTTCCCCCGACCTCACGGCAGCGAGTTCGCGGCCTCGGCGGCACCAGAGCCGTCCTCTGCAGCCCTCCGGCTCCAGCCCTTTGCACTGCTGTGCCTCCAGCCTAGCAGAGGCTCACAGAGCCTCTCCCAGGCAGCGTGGCTGTGTCGGGTGGGAGCCAGTTTGTTGCAGACCCCTGCATGCAGGGCTGTGGTCTTAATGTGTTCGCTGGGAGCTGACCCAAAGTTGCCACACAGTCTCGTCCAACCCTGCCCTTTGCTGTGGAGGCTCTTGTCTGTGCCTCTGCACAACAGTCCCTGTGATAATCATCCCTTTCTCCTCTTCAGTTATATCAGTTGTTTCCCCCAGGACACCACAACAGTTGCTTTATTGAAGCCCACACTAATTGCAGCACAGCAGAGTCACTGTTGAGAGGTGCAATTAGCCTGGCACAACCCCTTTCAGAAAACCAATGTGGCCCTTTTATTCCATTTACTTTGCATCATTTTTTCGCTTAGAAAATGCAGTCCCAAGCCCTGCGGATGGCATGGGCCAGGCGGGACGGGGGTTGCCCAGGACCATTTGCACTCTCTGAGAACAGGCAGATTGAAATAGTTTTTGTTTCCACTGTACACCTTCCCTAAATGGTTGCTGAAGAGCCTTGCTTTTGCCTGGCCCTTGAGCGCTGCATGCAGCCTGGCATAGCGCAGCACTGGCCACTGTCCCCTCCCTGCTCTAAACCAGCAAGTGGTGAGACAAGGTGTCTGACCTGCCCTTGCAGAGGCAGCATGCCTGCTGCCCATCGTGCTGGCCTCAGGGCAGCCCCAGGAACAAGACCCCAAGAAAGGTCCAGCCTTGGGGTGAAAGAGGCAGCTGGCAAAAGAGGGAAGAATCAAGGTCTGTAATTTGTCAGGCAAAAGGTTCAATTGAGGTGGGATGGTGCGTGTTTGTGTCCTTGCAGATTGCTGGCACCTGTCATGCCTCCTGCATGAGAGTGGCTGCTCTTATCCCTTCTGTGTTTGCTCCCCCAGACTAGCCTCATTTTCCGTTGGCAGAGGAAGGTGTATTAGATCTGACCAGCTGCTTAGAGACTGGAACTGCTGCCTGTGGCTGATCTCTCTGTGTCTGTAGAATCCATCTGATGGCTGGGCGGGTTCCTCTGGGTGCAGATCGGGCAGCAGTGACAGGCAAGATGGAAACCACCTTCATTGAGAATCTCAGATATGCTGCTGACCTCCTGGCCCAGGTAAGTGGGGAATGGGTCCTGCTCTATGTTGTTCAGCCCTCAGGGTACTGAGGATGGAGAATCCTCCACCAGCCTGGCATGGGGAAACAGCGCTCCCTGCTGCAGAGGTGATAGGATGCTCCGCAGGGTGACATTACTGTGTTACAGGAAGACATGATTGGACTGCTGGAACCTATTAACAACCGCATCACTGACCCTCGCTACTATCTGAACACCCCACACCAAGGTAAGGCAGACATCTCTCCCCAGTCTACTTCAAGGGAGGAGAAGGATCCCCAAAGACTGAAAGGCAGGAGGTTGCCTCAGCTGCAGGAGGCTGGGGGGGGGCGGGGGCGGTCTCAGGGCTTCAGCATGAAGCTTTGAAACGGGGGGTGATGGTCTCATTTCTTGCACCTTTAGCTGCAGCCATCCTGGAGAAGGTGGGACGGCCCAACCTGAAGCTGCAGCTAGTGAGTCAGCACTGACGATCTCCAGGGTCCACCCTCCACCAGGGAGCCTTCCACAGGCACACAGGGGAGTCCCAGGGTCTGTGGGCTTGTCATCCCCTCCTGTGGACATGGGGAGGGACAGGGACCATAGCATAGCTGTCCTTGACTGCTTACTGCTGAACAGCTGCACCATCCGCCTCCTCCCTCTCCCACAGGATCTCTTTCACTGCCAGATCATGGATGGGAATGTGTCACGCAACCTGGAGACATACTTCCCACTCATCGGTAATGCCCTACACCCAAACTGGCTCCTCTATGTCCATGGGGCAGGAGTGGCTTTGAGATGGGGCCCTCCTGCTGCACACTCGGCTGTGGTTGGCTGGGGGCATGGGGCTGCTCTTGGGCCACCCCTGTCTCATGTCTAGAGAAGGCTGCAGCCAGGGCTGCCTTGGGCAGAGCCTCTCCCATTCCCTCCCTCCCTAGGTCATATCCAGATTGCACAGGTGCCAGGGCGGCATGAGCCCGACAGCCCTGGGGAGTTGAACTTCCCCTACATCTTTGAGCTCCTGGAGTCCCTCGGCTACACTGGTTATGTGGGGTGCGAGTATGCTCCGAAGGGTGAGTGGGCCTGCAGGTGGTCCAAGCCCCACTGGCAGGTCCAAGCATGGATGAGCTGGCTGGGTACTATGCAAAGACTGGCAGGTAGTGGGCATCCGAGTCCCCACCTGGGGATAAGAGCCCTGCCCAGAGCAGAAGCTGCTCCAGCTTGCCTGGGCGTGCCAGCAGGAGACCTTGTCTGTCAGTGCAGGAGACACCCTGGAAGGTCTGGGCTGGCTGCACTCATACTGGGAGAGACAAGGGCTGCAGCATGCTGGGACCAACAAGGCATCAGAGTAAACCAAGGAAACCACTGGAATAAAAGTCAAAGCAACAGCTTAACAGAGGAGCATGTGTGTCTTCTCTATCACTAGGGGGTGGTGGTGAGTGGGATGATTCCTAGAGCGAGGTTAGGAGAATCTATGTCGTATTTCCCTTCCCCAGGCCCTACTGGACCAGCCCAAGCAGCTGGACCTTCACCTACTCATGTACTGTCTGCAGCATATCATATTTGGGGATGGCTTGAGCACCACTGTAGGTGACTTCAAGCACACAGGAAAACTTTCACTTCCAGTCTTCAGGGGGGTCCAGGGAACGGTTTCTAGTCTCCCCTGCTGAGGGGAGCATTCACTCCTTGGGAACAGTGTGAGTTTTCCCAGTTCAGCTCCAGCTGGTGCCTGGAGTTGTGGGAAGAGGGCTCTGGGCTTCCAAGTTCTGCAGTTCTCGATGCTGATGCCAGTGCCCAGCACTGACCCTGCAGCAGGTGGGGAAAGTGAAGCAAGGAGCCCCCTCACAGGCTGCCTGAACCGAGGCAACAGGCTGGGGGCTGGCTGCCGTGCTGCTTCTGCTCCAGGGCAAGTGTGAGACTCTGGTGCAAACCCAACCAGCCCCTCCAGTCAGGGTTGCCTCTGCACCCCCTATGGGAGGTTTTCCACATCCTAGCCTACAGCACGTGAGCAGGGATCTGGTTCAGTTTATTTCACAGATACATCAAGGGCTTTAATGTACATCTCCATAAAACCTTCCTGTGGTCCAGTTCACCCCTCCTGTCCTCTGTGGTGCTCTCCTGATGAAAGAAGGGCCAGAAGTGGGCAGCCTCACTGTCCAGAGCCCTGAAGTCCAGGAGTCTTTCTGCCTATAGCCAGAGTGCTGTGCAGTGCTGGCCCATGCAGAAGATGGTGCTGTGTGTGCTCCATTATGCCTTCCCCGCAGGCAGAACTGACCTGCAGATGCCAAAGCTGTGTCCCTGAGAGTCGCTCTGCTTCAGCCAAGCCACTCCTGCCCTTGTGGTTTGCTTCAAGGTCATTCAGTATCAAAACCACCAGCCAGCGAGCAAGTGATGGAGGTGCGTATCCCCAGGCTCCTTGGTTCAGTACCCACGCATGCTGCTAGCAGCGCTGCCTGCAGTGCCAGAGCACAGGTCCCTCCCAGAGGGCTGTTTTTTCCCCATCATCACCCATGGCACAGCCGCGCCAAGAGGTCCAGTACCCGTTGCTCCAGGACGTGGGTGCCAGTGCTAAAGGAGGCCTGTCCAGAGGTTGAAGCAGGCAGTGTTGATAACTGACTCCAGGTGGTGGTATGTGGACACAAGCTGTGGCAGAGGGCTCTCGCTGTTCTGGGGCTGCACTGGGAACGGCTCCCGGAAAACCACGGTGAGGCTCTGCTGAGAAGCAGGAGCAGATCAGGGAACAGGATTCAGACAAGCACTATGCAGTCCCTAACCCAGGTGTGTGGGCACTTTTTTGGTGGTGTCAGGCAGATACTGGGAGAAGTCCCAAAATGCCAATGGCACTAACGTAGTGCCTTCTCCTGTGACAGAGGATGTTTGAGCCTCTTCCCAATTTTCCTGGTGGAAATTAGGTGCAAGGACTTGCCCACTCGCTCTGTCCCAGCCCCCATGCATCTGCAGTTATACCAACCCCAGCAACAGCCGCAGGAGAGGAGGGGATCCTACTGCCTCCACAGTAATAGGGCCTTCCAGGAAAATTGGAGGGAAATTTCTTCTAAGGCAAAAAGGTAGGAGTGCAACAAATGGGGAAGGGGAGGACAAACGTAATAACTGCAATCCTGAAAATAAATGCTGGCTGCTCCATTCCCATTAGTGACTGTACTGACAAGGCAGTGCAAGGGCAGAAGGGAGCAGAGAACACAGTTCAGAAGAGAAGGGTGCAGGTGCTGAAGCAGAAGAAACACATGAGCAACTCTGTGCACTCAGATCAGCATCATGGAGGCAAGACACAGGGATTGTGCAGCCTGTGCATCACCATCATTTAAGAGGCAGTGATTTGAGAGGCTAACTCCAGCAGCACGCAAGGCTTTAGAGCAGGCTTGTAGAGAAAGAACCATGAGGAAAATGCATCTCTGTGTTATCAAAGTGATGTGCTAACACTAGAGTTCTCTTTGATAGACTGTCTCTAGACAAAGGAATATCTCATCTGAGCTTCAGGAAGGATTTGATGTAGTGCCACATGGGAAATTTAGGCAAGCTGAAAAGATAGGAATTGATGCAAAAACTAGAAGGTGAAGATGGTAGTGCTCAAAGGGGAAGTAGCAGGCTGGAGAGCTGTTACAAATGGAGTTCCTCCAGGACAGGTTTTGGAACTCACGTTGCCTAGTACTTTAATGAGTCTGGCACAAAGATGAGCAGTATGCTGATAAAATTTGAGGCACTAACACAAAAGAGGATTGAGATAATGCAAAAAAAAGCCCTAGAGACTTTTGAGAGGCCACAGAAATGGGATGAATGTTAAGCGCAAAATATGAGGAACACAAAGGATTTCTGTTACAAGATGGGAGTCATTGGGAGAGGTGATGGTGTAGTTGTATCACATCAATGATCACAAGGTGACACTATGACCAGTGAGACATGACCATGAAAAGGCAAATACCACCCATAGCTGTATGAGAAGCACTGGGCAGGGACAGAAAAGCCTTTGTGCAATCAGAGAAGGCTCTGCTGAGATTCCTCAGGAATACTGGGGCAGTCCCAGGCACCTGTATTTACAAAGGCTGACCTGAGTCCTGAAGGGCTCTGAATGACAAATGAAGCCATTGGGGAAGGGAGACTTAAGAGCGCAGCTTAACACAGCGAGATAGAGTTACCAAAATTTCACCTTCAGATGTGGAGGTGAATCTAGGGGACCAGAGAGGAAATGGGTACAGGCGCAGTGAAGAGCAGTTTCAGCTCTGAGCTAACACTGACATGAAGAGGATAGAACTGGCCACAACAAAAGCTCCAGCACAAAATGGGAAGGGCTCTTCATCATCAGGTGGCAGGAGGCACTGAGCAGCCTTCCAGCAGGCACCGGCACCACCTCTGTCTCCCCTGCTTGCTTTTAAGATGGAGTGTGATTTATTTACAAAGGGGTTAGTTACACTGCAGTCTCTGCAAAAGCCTCACTGTGGACCAAAGCATCTTGTAGATCCCCTGCTTTCACATGGACCTGCATTCCCTGTGACCCATCCTGTATGCCACCTGGGAGCACACCTGAAAGAAGAGTATTTTTGCCCTCAAGTCCAATGAAGGCCAAGGCCCATCCAGGTTTGCCGGGACCCTCACAGTGCAGGTCCCCTTCCTTTCTGCCCACGTAGGAGCAGCCTGCAGCACTGGTGACCCCCCACAACCAGACCCCGGGTGATCTGGCTTTGTACTGAATACAGAAGGACTCTTTAGCCTAGATAGAGAGACATGATCAGAGCATGATCCAAAAGCAACCCTGTAAAGGAAAAAAGGATCAACTGCTCACTGTTTTCCAATACAAGAACAAAGGGACATCACATGAAAAGGAGCTTCTAAAACAAGCCAAGGAAGGTAGCTCTTCACCTATATTGTAATTGCCTCACGGAGCTGCAAGTCATGGAAAATCATGGATGCCAGAAATTAACCAAAGGAAATAAAGCCACGGAGGGCTATTAAATAAATGCAAAGGCTGCTTCTAGCTCAGGATGGGCCTGAGCTACAGATTGTCAGAAGCTGGGACAGTATTTAGGAAAGGTGTTACAAGCTTCTTGACCTGCTCTTACTCTCCCCATGTGCACCTGCCCTTGGCCACTGCTGGATGAATCTAGACAGATCCCTGGTCTGAGCCAATATAGCTGCTCTTCTGTTCCCAAGTTCTTACCGTCTTTCCTGAATGGGAATCGAGAAACACAAGAACGAAGCAATCCGTGAACTTCTGATTGAGCACAACCTGTCAGGAGAGCCACAGTACACATTGGAAAGGAGACAGTACAAACCCTAGGACAGGGATACAAACAACACCCATGCAGGGACATGCTGGCATGCAAAATGAGTGGCATGACAGAGCCGTGAAGGTGCAAGTCTACCTGCTCTCGGGGTGCAGAGCATCCTGCCTGCCTGGGGGCAGACAGACACTGCTGTACCACAGGAGAACACACTTCGTGCTGCACCAGTAGCAGAGTGGAGAGCAACATCATGATGGTGCCCATGTTGTCCTGACAGCATGTGCCAGGCTCACACTGTGAGAAGCCACAGAAGGCAGAGGTCCTGGATAGGGAAGAGAGGCTTCAGGTGGGCAACAGGCTGTGTCTTACCAGATATTGGGTGCCAGTTTCAGCATTGTGGAAGTGCCGACAGCTCTGGGGAAAGCGGCTCAACAGCACTTTGATGAGGCTCTGGTACCAGGAGACTGTCATGGTGAGGAAGCATCCCTGTGGGCATGGAAAAGGGCTGATTTCAACCTCCCTCTAGCCATGGCACTAGCAGCCATCATGCTACAGCAGCCTTCAGACCCCTATCAGATGCATCCTTCACAGCCCATTGAGGCATGCTGACCTGGGGCTATTCACTCTCCGTGGACAGGTCCATGCAGCCTCCCCCTTCCCCTGCAGCTAGAGCGCTACATTCCTGCCTCCATCCTCCAACCAAGCAGGAAGACATGTGCTCTGCAGGCCCTTCACCCAGCACCCCACTCCATCCCCGGAGGAGAACAGCGGCTGCTGTGCACCGTGACCCCAACCCTGCTGCTTACCAGCTGGGGGTCGACGTCAGCAATGGATTTCCCATGCACAGCATCAAGCAGTTCCTCCAGCTCCACCAGTGAGAGTTTGCCCAGCTTCAGTTTGTCGGAAGCCAGAGGCTCCAGAAGGAAGAGGCGCTTCCAGAGGTTGTCCCTGCGGCAGTGGCACT